TTAACTCAGTCATATCACATCATATCACAAGAGTAGTATTTGTCACACCAGTTACCCACCACCAACCAAGCAAGGTCCTTATGTAGCAGCTCTATTTACCTATCCGTTACTATATGAACCATTCAGAATCAGAACTAAGTAATTCCTCTTATTCACGTAGTCAGTAATGTAGGCATCCAGCAGTAAAACATGTCACTCGACGTTCACTCACTCAATCACTTACAAGCTCTAATCTTTGTATGTTCCTGTTGTGTTTACAGTAGTCTCTCGTGCGCACAAAGACTGGGCACTAGACTGCGTAGTCTTACACAATGACGTCACACGGTTCTCAAAGATGACATCACAAGTCCCCCAACTGAAGGTGTCTATGTGCATGGATTGTATCTAGATGGAGCAGGATCAGGGTTCGACGAAGCTGTAAGCTGATAGAAGCTGCATGTACCACTATCACATCATTACCATCGAATGTACCATTGTCCTATTTATAAGAAGCAGCGACGCGCAGGCCTGACGTACATTGTCCGCGTGGACCTGAACACCAATGAGAACCCAGATCACTTGATACTACGTGAAGTGGCTTTGCTATGTGATATCAAGTAAAACAGTACAAAAACATTTATTGATAGAGATCATATAGAGATTATTGGGTTTTATAGATAATCCATAGACATTTCCTTCGTCAGATTATTCAGCAGTTTTTGTTTTGCTCGCAGGATGAATGCGATCCACATTGCGCGAGAAGGAAAAACGCCAATAAAATGCCTAGAAAACGTCAAGCAGGAAGCGTTTTACTGAAAAAGCAAAGGACGCACCCATATACCGACTGTCCAGATCGTCTTTCTATAGAGCTGTTAAATGTGACGTAATTAGAACGAAAAACGACTTCCGGGTCCAACTTAATAATTACTTCTACAGATATTTTTATGTGTTCTTTTTTCTTCATAGCATGATTCTCTGGTCGTATGTCTAATTGTTGAAGGTAGAGAATAAATCCTGGGAATAAGTTCTGGCAAGATTTTATCGATCTCTTGCATGATTGGACCCGGAAATACGTCACAACTTAAAAGCCCTATAACATGTTACTCTGTATTATTTATGACGAGCTTAGATTTCGTTGCCAGAAAAACAAGTAAGCCACAAAAGAATTTCGTAGACCACAGAAATAGATTTTTTTTCAAATAATGAATAGTAATACTTAGTATGTTTTGATGTGATTTGTAAAACAATATACACCTAAATCCAAAATGGGGCATGGCCAGTTGAAAAGGAGGCATCCATGGCTAAATTTGCAGTATTTTCTTATAAATTAATGCAGCAAAATTGTCACATTCCTGAATGTAAGAAGAAAAGGAAGACAGAACAAGTGAACAAGTGTATACCTTGCATTGACACCATATTATTTGTTTGCATTTAGCCCTGGATGCCTCGTTTTCATGTAACACACTCGGTCATGTGTCATTTTTGGATTCATTTATTTAGGTGTATTAGCTCATAGATGTAGAGTATAAAATATTTTTTTAGGAATTATTAGGAATACTTAGGGTCTAATGTATACCAATAGTAACACAAATTGAATAGTCTGTGGTCAATGTCAAAAAAGATTGACGTCATATATTGAATCTCGGTTTCGTACTGCCCCCCCCCCCCTCCTTTCCCCATCAAATAAATCCTTGATCCCCCTTTGTTCAAGATATTGTATTATATTGCATGAAAATATGTTAACATAGCTTATAATATRATGTGAAGCCAGTACAGCTGAGTTCTCTTTGTACAGTAAATGATTTATTTCTATGTTAACTTATTATAATTTGAGTAGTGTGAATAATAGAACATTGAACAAGTTACTTGTGTGGTGTTATTATTAACGTCCCCATAACACAATTGCCACAACATGACCAACAGACCCATTGACCCAACGACATGTGCAACAGGCAAAACAATAGACCTAATTTATCCTGGTGTAATGTTTTCCCATTTCAGACCACATGTCATTCCCTACAGTAGTTTCTTTGTTTAATGGCTGTACATGAGAAGACACATGAGATGGATACAACTCAAACAAAGAATCTTAATCTTAAGAGAATGTCACGAGATCTGAAATAGAAAAAAAGTGTGCCCCAAATAAATGAAACCACTTCTAGCCTTCACCCCCCCACCCCCCTCACCCTGTAAAGTGCTCCGCCCATCCCCACCCCTCTCCTGCTAACCTAGACATAACCTGCCAAATACTTTTCTTTAACCTTTATCAGAACAGACTCAATATTACTATTATAATAAATTATAATATAAAAAAGAATATATTTGATGTAACCCCGTTTAATCCAGGACAAGTTCTTCCTTTGGGCTACCTGTGTCTTCGAGCCTTTAGTGACCTTTGATCAGCGGTAGATCAAGAGTTAAAATGGCCGCTGTGTGTTCGTTATACGAAGTCGGAGTAAAAATGGATATTTGATTTGTTTATTGGCAAAGTTAACTTATGACTGCAATCTGCAGGTATGTATGAAACTTGAGTAGTAATGTTTTGCCGCGAGAAGGAATAGAACATCAAGAGATCGCGTTTTTAAAGCAGTTTTGTTTGACGTTTGAAATCGTGAAACTTGGAAAACTGGTGCTATCGTCGTGTACGGATTAACGAAGTACGTCATAGGTTTCCGAACACACGAGTGGGACTTTGAAATTTTGGTTCACCTCACTTAGAAAAAAAATTAAGTGAAGACACCAAGAATCGAACTCGGTACCTTCGGC